ACCGATCTGCCGGACTGTGATAGGCGGCTGAGCGCTGTGGGAGGAGAGACACCGGCCGCTCACAGCGCTCGGCCGGCTGTCACTTTCTCTCCTCCCTCTGGGACACAGAGCAGCGCCCAGCAGGGAGGAAATAAATCACGGCTGCGCCGGCAAAACGGCAGGAGAATGGCACTTTCGCCACTAAGCCAAAAGTGCAATTTTCGGCCGGCGCCCCCCTTCAGCTTTAGGCACGGGGCCAGCACTTTCAAGTCTGAAGCTGAGAGCTTTTTCTCCATTCAGAGCGGCTTCTAACAGGTTACAGAGCGGGGAAAGCCTCCACACTATGTAACCTGTCATGGACGGAGCGCCGCCTGTTAACTATAGGCAGCGCTCCATCCAGCTTTTGACAGCTAAGTTAGGTTACACAGCAACGGACTTCCCCACTGCTTGTGTAACCGAACATAGTCAGGCCAGAGCTGCAACAGCCTCTACTCTGTGTTAGAGGCTTGAGTTCTGTAGATGGTTTGGGCCAATGGCAAAGCACCATTGGTCCAAGCTGTCCAATAAAAAATAAATAAAAAAAAGACACTGAGGACATCGATCTTGATGCCTCACCACTGATGAGCAAGTGAGGGACAGGGAGGCTCCTCCCTGCCTCCTCCCTCCTCCACACATAGATTGGTGACCTGGTTGGTGGAGCGGGGCGTCGGTGGGCTAAGGGCCGGGTGGGGCGTTCTGGGGGTGGAGCATCAGCAGGCTGGGGCAGGCATGGAGAATGCCTCACCCAGCACGGAAGGTACCGCAAGTCACTGCTTTACATACATTTGAATGTTCTTAGTGTTAAGGTGCTCATACACTATTCGAATTTCGGCTGTTTTTTGAGGAACCAGCCAAAATTTGCAGTGCATGCTGCTGTCCGCACCCTTTCGATCAGCATTCCTCGTTCAGCTAATCTTCAATCGGTCAGAGCCATCAGTCAATGAGCTGCCCGCTCTGGTCGGGTATTCTGACAGTGGCCGGGGACTCCTGTCAGAATACAGTGTAAACAGTGGGGATTCCTCAATCGACATGCTGTTGGTGTTGATTGAGGAATCAGGTCTATTTTTTTTCGTTCAGCCCACAGGTTGAAGAGAAAAAATTAGATCAGTGTATGGCCAGCTTAAGTTCTCTTCTGGTTGAATGTTCTTTAGTAGATTAATTCATAAAGAACAGAGTGAATCAAGAAAATTACACATTATGGCTTCTAGATGGAGCTGAGGATCTTATGAAATAAATACATGTTAGTATCAAGAAACGTTGCTGCAATTCTAGAATGAACATGTACATGTAACCACTGCTACTACGGGGATAGCAAAGGTTACAAATGTTATGCTCATTCTCTCCAGCATTCTTTTGAATGTATCTAACTAACATGAATTTATATCCTATTAATATCAGCTCCATCTAGTGGCCATAATGCGATATTTTCGCCATTTGCTCTGTTCTGTATGAATTGAATTGAATTATTGAATTACATTCGACAAGAAAAGACAGCACTCAACTCAACTCAACAGCTGGTCAACTTACACATGACAAATGCACCTGCAGTTTAGCTGGAAGAACAAGCCCTGTGAGTTTTAAAATAAATAAATAGACCCCTTAGCTTTCTTTCCTGTAAGTACAGATTGAGAGTCATAGAGAATGTGGGAATGCCTGC